TGAGCCACAGATGGAGCAGAAGCGACTCATCTGTTCTCCGGAGTGGCAGGGGAAGTGTGGCCTAAGGGTGAGGGTGGGTACCTGAGCTGGGAGCAGTCCAGGTGCAGTTCTTGGCTCTGCTGCAGTCTTCCCAGATGACCTTGGAGGAGGTGCCGTGCCTCAGTTTCCCCAGCCATAAAATGGGATTGAGAGCTGGGCTGCTGGCTCCATGAACCACTCCCCCCTCCCCACCCTGGCTACACTGGCTCAGGATCGGTCCCCTCGCCTGCCCATCCCTTGGGCGGCGCCCCGGCACGAGCAAGGCTCCCGCCAGCCACTGGGGAGTGGGGGCCCGAATTCCTGCGCCCCTCTGGCACCCTGCACCCAGGGCAAAGCAAACGCGCAGGGCGGCTCTGGCACTGCAGGAGGTCGCTGCCCGTCGGGGTACCCCCACCTTCTCCCCACTGCCGGAGAGCCAGGGCCTCCCCGGAGTCATCAGCACCGATGTAATGAACGGCCCCAGCTCCATAGCCTTTCTTTGCTTCCCCTTTCCCTTTCCCCTTTGCCTTTCCCTTTTCCTTATTCCCCTTCCCCTTTCTCTTTTCCTTATTCCCCTTTCCCTTTTCCTTATTCCCCTTTTCCTTTCCCCTTTTCCTTATTCCCCTTCCCCTTTCCCTTTCCCCTTTTCCTTTTTCCCCTTCCCCTTTTTCCCCTTTCCCTTTTCCTTATTCCCCTTCCCCTTTTTCCCCTTTCCCTTTTCCTTATTCCCCTTCCCCTTTTTCCCCTTTCCCTTTTCCTTATTCCCCTTCCCCTTTTTCCCCTTTCCCTTTTCCTTATTCCCCTTCCCCTTTCCCTTTTTCCCCTTTCCTTTCCTTTCATCTCAAGAGGGGGTTGTTCTCACAAAAGCTTCTGCTCCAATACCCTAAGACATTCGTTAGCCTTTAAAGCAGGGGGGGGGAACCTAAGACCCAGGGGCCGGATGTGGCCCCCGGCTTGCCTGGAGGCTCAGGGGCTCCCCCCCAGCATTGGAGAACCCACGCTGGTCCTCCCCCACCCCCTACATCGCCCTGCAGGGCTGGAGTGCACAAAATCTACTAGCCTGGTCTGGGGCCAGGTCAGAGAGGGGTCGCCTGGCAGGACTACATCTCCCATGAGGCAGCAGAGCCCCTGGGATTTCAGTCTGCTACCAGAACCTCAGCATTTCTGAGAAAAGCAAAGTAATGTAGGTATGCGTGCGTGCGTGGGGGGGTGCAAGTGTGTGTGCACGAGTGGGTAGGGGTGTTCAAGTGTGTGCACCTGCATGAGTGAGTGTGCATGTGTGCGTGTGGATGTGGATGTGTGTGTGCAAGTGAGTGTGCACGTGTAGGGGTGCAAGTGTGTATGGACCTCTGAGTGCAAGTGTGTGTGCACGTGTGAGTGTGTGCACATCTGTGGGTGCAGGTATGCAAATTGTGTGTGTGCGTGCATGCGGGTGGGTGCACGAGTGCATGTGTGTAGGAGATGTGTGTGCATGTGCATGGGTGTATGTGTGCACGTGTGTGTGCACGTGTGTGTGTGTGCAAATGCATGGGTGCAGGTGTGCAAGCGTGCGGGTGCCAGTGTGTGCGCACAGACAGCCTCACTGTCCACCCACCTCTCCTTCTCCACTGCCCGCTGGCCAGGGGTGGCCTTCGCCAACGGGGAGCGGTGGCGGCAGCTGCGCCGGTTCTCCCTCAGCACCCTGCGGGACTTCGGCATGGGCAAGCGGGGCGTGGAGGAGCGCATCCGGGAGGAGGCCCAGTGCCTGCTGGAGGAGCTCCAGAAAACCAGAGGTCTGTGCGTTCGCATCCCCCTTCTCCCCCCCGAGCAGTGCCAGGGCCAGGGCCAGGGAGGCCCTATTTATAAGGCTGATGTTGCCGTGGTAACCGAGTACCTCCCACATATGTCACCTCCCATCAGCAGGCTGATTTTCCCCATTTCACAGAAGGGAAACTGAGGCACAGACAGACTCATCTGGCTGCAGGAGTGGCCGAGGAAGCGTGGGCCAGGGGTGAGGGTGGGTGTCTGAGCAGCAAGCAGGTGCAGTTCCTGACTCTGCTGCAGCCCTCCCAGGTGACCTTGGATGAGGCGCCGTGCCTCAGTTTCCCCCCCATAAATAGCAGCACCTCATCTTACAGGGAAGGGGTGAGGGAGACGAGGCGGGGGGGCGGTACCGCCTTCGCGTGACCCAAATTCGAGAGCGACACGCTTTCGAGCTGCAGACTGAGGCATACGGGACACGCCCATGCGGGGGGAGACGAGATTCTGATTATGAAAGAGATGGGCTGGGACCCAACCGCCTGCTTCCCCCAGCCTGCGCCTCGCCTCAGGACTCCCCCGTGGCTACATTCAGTAAGCTCTCCCGATGCTGTAGGAGAACAGCCAGACTCGCCTTCTCCAGTGGGCCTGGAGCACAAATTAGCTGCGTTTCACGGAGGCCAGCAAATCAGTAGGTAGCCAAGAGGCAGTGTTGCCTAGTGGTCTGACCTGGGGTCTGGAAACATGGGTTCCACTCCCTGCTCTGCCCCGTCTTGTCTGCGCCTCTTCGTCCCCTGCTCTGTGACTCAATTTCAAGGAGGCGAAGACGACTTGCTAATCCGCTGGCATCATGCCTTTGCTGGAATGAAAGGGGCGTCCCACACCCTAGGCCTGGGTGTCTTATCGAATCAGCATTTCAGTGCGTATCTCACCGTTTTCAGCATGGAAACGGGCCCCGGCTCTAAACAATGCTGTGATTTCCACCAGGCACCGGCTCCTTGGGTTGCCACACGCTGCCTTTTGGAGACAGAACCGTGAGAGCGCACGCACGGCCATGTGACTCTTGTCGGGAAAAACGCCCAGTTTGGGGGACAAAAAACATCCAGCCCCTCGAGAGACTTTTGTCTGTTCCCCTCCCTTTATTGTCGACCAAGAGCCAGTGCGGACTCTGCTGTTTGTTTGTCGGGAGAACTGGCTTCCGCCAGGGTCCCACCATGCCTGTCCTGCTGGCTCTGCTCAGTGTCTTGTGATCTCTGCTGCTCTGCAGGCCTGCGCCCCCTCCCCTGTCAAAGCTCTGGGACGTATCTGACAGCTGAGGGAGCTGCGTGACTGACAGCTGAGGGAGCTGCTCCGTGTGGGGAACAAAGAGCAAACCATTGGGATGCTCCTGTTCTGCCCGGCTAGGAACCCAGTGGCGGGCAGGCGGCTGCCGCCAGGGGAGGGCTGGAGAGACAGCAGTGCATTAAAAGATGCTCACCCACAATGCTTTGCTGTATCTGTGGACAGGGGAGCTAGCCATGTGGCCACGAAATGTCGATGATGGGAGGGAGAAAAAACAGTTTGCTCTGTTTTCACAGTTGGCGACTTTTGCTCATAGACGGCGTCTGTGTCGCCAACCCTGCCCCATGTAGACACAGCCTGAGGCTGCAGAGAGCCCGAAACGGTTGCCCCAAAAGGGGGGAGCTGCCCTTCTAAACCCGGATGCCCCCACCCCAAGAAGGGAGAGGGCCACAGGAGGAGGCAAGGCCACCCCGGGAGAAGGATCACCCGTCGCGGCTGCTTTTCTCCGTGCCAGGTTTGCCCTTTGACCCGACCTTCTTCCTGAGCCGCACAGTCGCCAACGTCATCAGCTCCATCGTCTTCGGGAGCCGCTTCGACTACGAGGACCCGACGTTCCTCTCCTTGCTGCGCATGATCAACGAAAGCTTCACAGAGATGAGCACTCCCTGGGCCCAGGTACCGCCGGCCGCCCGCGGGGTTGGGCAAAGAATTCCTCCCCCCCCGGGCCCCGATTTCTGGGGTGCTCCAGCTGCCGGGACCCCTAATTGAGACGTTCAGCAGCAGCTTGTCCTAGCTCGAGTCCTCAGAGCCCTTGTCCTTCTGGGCTGAAAGGTGGGGTGTGCCCTCCGCCCTGCTCCTCCGAGCCCGGAAGCAGAGTGGGGACCGTTCCGCGGCAGGTTTGCGATCGTTTGGGGTGGCGCCAGGTTATAACGACGCGAGGGATGACCCACTGGGAGACCGTCTCGATGGGTGGGGTGGATCCTCCATGCTGAGGGATCATTGAAACCAGGCTGGTGGTCTCCAGTCAGGGGCCGGGGACCCCAAAACAGCTGGTGGAGTCCCCCGGGGATGTTCTTGGGGTAGGTTGCCAGGGGCCATCGGTGAACTCGGCTGGTGTCTGCCTCCTGCAGCTCTACGACATGTACTCCTGTGTCATGCGGTACCTGCCCGGGCGTCACCACCGCCTCTACCACCTCATCGAGGCCCTCAAGGCCTTCATCGCCCAGAGGGTGCAGCTCAACCAGGCGTCGCTGGACCCCGACGTCCCACGGGATTTCATCGACTGCTTCCTCCTGCAGATGGAGAAGGTACCGGCCTGGGCCGGGCTGGCACCGGGAGATGCTTGGAAACCTTCCGGCTCGGGAGCGCTCTGAGCAGAGGCTGGTTCTTTGGGCCGTTTGTACAGCGCCTGGCACCCTGGCGAGCTGGTCCGGGACTAGGGTGTTTTACCGTAATCCATCTAGTAGCCATAACATGTACCACACCTGACACCTGACCTCTGGCGTCCTGGTCCAGGACTAGGGTGGGGCTACTGTAATCCATCTAGTAGCCATAAAATGTACCACTGTGACATAGTGGGGGTACTTGCTGGGCTGTGGTGACCCCTGCTATCTGGAGCAAGACCCAGCAGGGAAAGCCTCACTATGCAAGGGTAATTCCAAACTTGTTGAACCAGTGGCCAGACACCCCCCATGGAGAGGAACAAAGGAAGGTGGATGCTGCCCTGGCTGGGGGGCAGGGCTGGAGGAGGGTTAGTCAGTTGCTGGCTGGAAGGCAGAGAAGAAGGAGCTGGGGAGGGGGCTGGGACTCCCCTACCTCAAGGGGGGGCACTGAGACCTCTTAGCCCCCAGTTCCTGTAACCAGATTACATCTGTGCTGCGCTGTGCTGGAGGAGCAATAAACCACCCTCAATCCCACTGGCTGGTGCAGTCTGTTTGTGCCATTTCGGGGTGCAGGAGACGGGGAACCCCCAACGCGCCGTCACAACCACACCTGGCACTTAGTGTCCTGGTCCGGGGCTAGGGTGGTGCTACCGTAATTTATCTAATAGCCATCAAATATACCGCCCTGGCACCTGGTGTCCTGGTCCAGGACAGGTGTGGTTCTGCCTTCACACCCCTACTAGCAATAAGAAAGGTCAGAGTCCGACATAAGAGGCCTGCCCCTGGCTCCTTGTCGGGGGGCTGCCGTGGCTTTTGTGCATGAAGGTTCTGGCCCCAGCCACAGCCGCCTGTAACGGCTAGGCCCCTGCAGGGGGGTTGTCAGCTGCCTCTTTCTGTGCCCGTCTCCCCCAGGAAAAGAAAAACCCCAGCAGTGAATTCAACACCACGAACTTGGTACTCACCACGCTCAACTTGTTCTTCGCTGGCACGGAGACCGTCAGCTCCACCCTAAGATACGGCTTCCTCTTCCTCATGAAGTACCCGGAAGTCGAAGGTAAAGGCAGGAAAAGGAAGGATTGGCTGCACCTTGAGTGACAGCAGCCAGGATGGAACCCGCATCCCGCAGTCCAGGCCCCATCACTTGATAAGGAGAATCTCCCTTTACAGCAGTATAGGGCCTATGATACATAGTTAGGCAGTCCATTTCCGCCCAGCAGAGGGCAACAATGTTCCTACACACTAATGCATGAATATGAGGCCCAGGGTTGGTTCTCTCTGTGCAGAACTGAACCCCAGACCTCTCCTTTAAAACCTGCCTCTGCTATTGGACCAGCTCTGTTAGCTCCCATCAGCCTCTCTGCGTGCATTCCAGGTTGGGATGATGGAGCCCTTTGCCGAAAGCCCGCCCCTTTGGCATGGGCCATGAGCCTGCAGGTCGGGGGGCTCCGACAGTCAGTGCCAGTTGCTGCCCGCCCAAGTACGCCCCGGCTAGGACACACACCCGCTAGCCCCACCGAAATCGGCAACCGCTGCTCTGTGCCGCCCCGAATTCCCCCGGGGGCAGCTGGGATTTCAGCTCTAACATGTGAATTGCTCGGCCCCGTAGCAGCTAGATGGGCCACAGATTGGCCCCATCTCACAGTCACTGCCGCCAGTCCCTGCCTCTCCCACCCGGCCTGGGGGCTGTGCTGCCCATGTGGTTCCTGTGGAGCTCTGCCCCTGTCTCCGCAGAAAAGGTGCACCGGGAAATCGACCACGTCATCGGCCGCCACCGCGTCCCTGCCAGCGAGGACCGGATGAAGATGCCCTACACCGACGCCGTGATCCACGAGATCCAGAGGCTGACGGACATTGTGCCCTTGGGGGTGCCGCACACCGTGATCCGGGACACCCAGTTCCGGGGGTACACGCTCCCCAAGGTGCGGGCCAACAGGCAGGCGTTTGGGGGTTGTTTTTGCAAAGGGAAAGGTAGTTTGGGGCTCGGCCCCTTGTATCTGAACCCCCTGGGTGTTTGCCAGGAACATAAATGCACCTGTGATGGCGCGTCGGGGTCCCCTCTGATCCTGCACCCCCGTAGCAGCAAGAACAGACTCCGCCCGCCAGTAGAACAGGGAGGGGTTAGTGCTTCTCAGGGATACAGCCCAGCACAGACGGGATGTGGCTACAGGAGTCGGGGCCAGGATGCCTCAGCCCCCTTGGGGTAGGGGGTCCATCGCCCCCTCAGCACCCAGCTTAGTCTGTTCCCTTCAAGTTTTCTCCCAGGAACCTGCCCAGCTCCCAGATCCTGCCCCCCAGGCAGGTGTTCGTCTCCGCCCCCCTTTGTCTCTCCCCCTGGGAAGAGCCTTGTTATCTGCTCAAGCTGGGACGAGGTGTCTGAGCCAATCTGCACGTGGGTGAGTCAGTGGGAGGCACACCTCACAGCACAGGGGAACCCCGGGTTACAGAGCAGACGGCCCCCCCACGACGTCACAGCACCAGTGGCTGCAAACCCCTGCCTCTCCCTTTTCTGGGCACACAAACCTCATCCCGACTGTTCATGGAAGAACAACACAACAGGAAGAACCTCGCAGCCCACAATGAGAATAAACAGCCCTATGGAGGAAGGGGCAGACAGCCCCCACTGTCAGTTGCGGGTCAAGACTGTAAGGGACCCTCCCGTCTTGCCAAAGGAGGTGCGGGGATGTATCCCACCGCACACACCAACGCAGTGATTAAAGAGTCAGGGAAACCCTAGACTGTCTTTATTTCCTGTTTACACAGATGAAATTATATGCCCCGCCGTGAATCCCTCGAAAGGGTACCCCACAGCTATCTCCTGTGGTCCGGAGGTGGTTGCTTCCAAGAGATCCCGAAGGATTCAATTCCTGCCCTCTCTTCTCTTTTCCCCCAGGGCACCAACGTCTTCCCGTTACTGGGCTCTGTCCTACGGGACACGAAGTACTTCAGCAGCCCCGAGGAGTTCAACCCTGGGCATTTCCTGGACGAGAACGGCCGTTTTAAGAAGAACGAGGCCTTCGTGCCCTTCTCCTCCGGTACAGGACCAGCCTCCTGACCCCAGCGCTCACTCCCTGCTCTCTGGCGCTTGGCGTCCAGGAGCTGGGCTGGGGAGCATCCCGGGGGCTTCCGTAGCAGACGGGATCCGTGGGCCTCTCCCGTCGGCCAGCCCTAGCAAAGCAACACTTCGGCTAGTAACGCGGGTCCCTGGCACAGCGACTCGGGCCAGGCACTAAGGCCTGGAATTGCACTCAGGAGACCTAGGGAGGCCTGGTTCTTCGAGGGGTGAGAGCTACAGGTTAGGTTGGCAGCCAGGACTCCTGGCTTCTCTCCCCAGCTCTGGGAGGGGAGTGGGGGCTAATGGTTAGACAAGGGAGGCCTGGGAGTCAGGATACATGGGGCGCCCTGCCCCCGCTGTGCACCCTTTCCCCTCTCCATGCCTCAGTTTCCCCTGCAACGATCCTGACTTGCCCCGTGTGAGGCCGGCGCATGCCAAGTCCCCGGTGTGTGTGTGTTTCCAGGCAGGCGGGTGTGCCTGGGCGAGGGCCTGGCCCGCATGGAGCTCTTCCTCTTCCTCACCACCATCCTGCAGCGCTTCGCCCTCCAGCCCCTCGTGGCCCCGAAGGACATTGACGTCAGCCCGAGAATGAGCGGCTTCGGGAACGTCCCCCCCACGTACCAGCTGTGCCTGGTCCCCCGCTGACACCGTGAGCTGCTGGTCGGGAGGCTGCGGGCGAGGGGGGGGTAGCCACCAATTACGGAGCCTTTTAGGAGCTAGGGGTCTCACACGCCTTTCTTAGTTTGCCTTCGGTAAAGGGCAGCTCAGATTCCGCCGTATCTCGGCAGCTCCCTGGGAGCAGGGGCCTTCAAAGGGCAGGCTCCAGGCGTCCCCGGAAAACAGACACGGGAGCCAGACGGCCTCCCCCAGGAATTCCTGCAGCCAGCCCATATCTTGAGGTCGAGCTAGTGCATAGACGGAGACAGCCAGTTGCAGAGCCGGGGCCCCACACCCATGTACATCTCCTTCTCCACGGCCTAAACGCAAGAGCCGCTACGGGGGAAATCCAGGCGTCTCCACCATGTGACGGGCATAGTCACAGAGGCGAGACACTCGATGAATATTGGCCTTTCGGGGAGGAATTTCTCCAGTGTAGATTGGAACCCGTCAAAATACAGGGGCCCGGTTTTGCTGGACATTTTGGAGCTGTCTGAGTATCATGGGATTGGAAACCGGCCCAGTTTTCTTCCCCCAGCGTCCCCAATGAAAAGAATGTCGGTTGGCCATTTTCCACTGACTTTTTTGTTCTTGCCTTTTTTCGGTCAGTCCTTTCGGGGAGGAATTTCTCCAGTGTAGATTGGAACCCGTCAAAATACAGGGGCCCGGTTTTGCTGGACATTTTGGAGCTGTCTGAGTATCATGGGATTGGAAACCGGCCCAGTTTTCTTCCCCCAGCGTCCCCAATGAAAAGAATGTCGGTTGGCCATTTTCCACTGACTTTTTTGTTCTTGCCTTTTTTCGGTCAGTCTTTGATCGGTTTTTCTTCTTTCCTCCTCCTAAAAAAAAGAAAAGACAAATACCGGGGCGCTGGGGGAGGGGGGGGGAGGAGGAGGGATGAGAGTGTGTAGCCAGAGCGCAAAAATGACAACGGGATACAAAATAAGTTTTTCTTTTAAAGAAAAGTTGGCCCAAAAATGCCCAACGCGACCGTTTGCCGTGCGCTTTCGACCCGCCCTGGTGTGTAAAAAGAGTCCAGCTGCCTCTCTGACTCTCTTCGATCTCTTCTGACTCCCACCACAACCACCCAGGCAGACGCCCACGCTGGTTCGATGAGGCTTCACCTGGGACTTTTGTGGAGCTTGGCTTTGCCGTTCATTGAAATAAACGAGACCCTGTGTGAATAGATGGGAGACTCGCGTTCTTGTTTCCAACTCTGCCATGGAGACCAACAATTGTTTCTTTCCATTTCGTCTTGAGAGGGCTCACGGCATCTTACGGGACAAGGGCGGGGCCGGGGGGGGAGGCTCCCCGGCTCCGAACGAAACACAGGCCTTGGTCATAAGGTGCGTTGCCGTCACACGGCTGCCAAAAAAGCCAACCTGGTTCTGGGCTGCATGAACAGGAGTGCGGTGAGCAGGACACGAGGAGTCGTTCTCCGGCTTGCTCCGCGCTGGTCAGGCCTCAGTTGGAGGGTTGTGTCCAGTTCTGGGCCCCACGTTTCGGGAAAGATGAGAGGAAATTGGAGAGGGTCCAGAGAAGAGCAACAAAAATGACGAACGGTCGAGAGAACGTGAGCTAGGAGGGGAGACTGAAGGAACTGGGCTTGTTTAGTTTGGAAGGAGAAGACTGAGGGGGGACATGCGAGCGGTTTTCAAGGACCTAAAAGGGTGGCACAGGGAGGAGGGGGGGAAATTGTTCTCCTTGGCCGCTGAGCACAGGACAAGCAGCGATGGGCTGAAATTGCAGCCAGGGAGGTTGAGGTTGGACACGAGGAAAAACTTCCTGCCTGTCCGGGTGGTGAAACACTGAAACAAATTGCCTGGGGGATAGTGGAATCTCCATCCCTGGAGATATTGAAGAGCAGGTGTCACGGGGGTCGGGGTGCCCCAGCCCTGCCCCCCGCAGCAGCAGGAA